CAAATGATACTTCAAGGAGCATATATGATAACCGGTTGTTTTTAACAGTTGCGTTTTGGAAGACATGACCTATCAGTTGTGATAACTGATGGATTAAACTTATTGTAATTGTAATTGGCATTGGACTTGCTTCCAGGATGTCTTTTCGAAAAAATAAATGTTTTGTAGAAGCAGGAAGCTTTTTTATTAAAAGTGTTTATTAACATTTATAGGGAACAAAATATTAAATAATAATAGTAACAACAAAAGACCAAAAATTTGTCGATATTTTCTATTCACCATCTTTCATGTCTAATTTTTTGCTGTGCCAAAAATCATAGGAGCTGCTAATGCTCTATCGATCTTCATTTAGTACGACTACCATTAAAATCACTGGAAAAGTTAACTGTTCTTAAAGATATAGAAAACACCACAAAAAGGGCAGATAATGCTGTTATCATATTTCATAAATGTCCCATAAATAAGCCTGGAATCTGCTCGGTGATAAATTGCAGATAATGATGATCTATCCCTGTAAAACTATCCTGGCATCGTCGTCAACGAAGGGTTCAAAGCAATATTTCATAAAAATAATGGAAGTGATAGAAAGATTTCAGTTTTGATGGAACCCACCGATAACAAAACATGATAAAGCAATGCCTATCAATAATAATGAAGCAAATATCATATTTCTTGAAGGTTTTACTTCACCGATGCCAGTAATATTTTTTAATATATCCAAATGTTCACTATAATCATCATCCTCCTGGAAAAAAGTCGTTGCATTGAATATTTTACTAGTTCTGAAAATTCTAAAATATTAGTTAAGTCAACCAAGTAAACAGTTCACTTGACTTGTAGATTGGAATCATTAAGCATCATTGTAATTAAATAGCAAAAATTGAGGAAAGGAGAAACATTAGTCCGGGAAAGAAAGTAAAAACGAAAAAATGATTTAAAATTCAAACGATATTCATAGAATTACGATCCTCTTCTTTTCATTCATCGAAATTCCGCGATAGCAAAAAAAAAAGTACAATACCTCAACAGTTTTAGTTCCGCCACATTTCCCTTCCAAGCCACAACGATTTTCTTCAAAGATCGCCGGTTCATGTAATGTTCGATTACATCGACAATCAGTAAAGCATGCTTGATATTTTACCTTACCAGGTGTTAACATTGAAAATGTACAATTTATTCGATAACTTCAAAAAATATTTAATATTCAAAAATTACCCAACAATTAATTAAGATTCTATTTTAAAATATATTTCATTCTGTCTAATATAACCTTTTTTCGATATTCCACCTCAATGAAACAACCAGCCCCAATTCTAAATATATAATGATAGAGCGGATATTGTTCGGCCATATCAGTACGAGCTCTTTTGTCCATACCACGTAGAAAATCACCAAGGGTAAAGCAACGGTTGCTGTATTAATTTCTCTTATCAAATTAGAATTGAAGTGTTTAAGTAATTCAATAAGTTCATTGAATAATGAAACAAAGCTAAACTTAAATTGGTGAATATAAGGTAATTTAACGTTGGAGCGTTACTGTTTTAGAATCACAAAGTGATCATGAGTAATACACAATTCGTATTTTTGTATTATTTGTCGGATTGTTTACCTAACCATTAAGCGACCTTTTGAATGAGCAAAAACATTTCGTATCCTTGGCTTGTTGTTTTTGTCGTATAATATGTCATTACGAAATATTTCCAAATATATTTTGTCATGCTGAAAAATATATGAACTAATTTGATTTCAGGATGAAAATGGATCTTTTATAAATTAGATTTCAGATTTTGGTTTCCAAGTCTTTTAAAAATGAGAAATGAATGTTTGATTTTGAAGGAAATGGAAGATTTGAGGCAAACTTTTGTCAATTTCGTCATCTTTTTTCGATGTAAGAGAATTTCATAGGCAAAAAAAGGTGATACGCAACGATCGCCATGGATGTTGTAATCTCGAGGTCCATAATATGGAAAGCGTCGACGTGTAGGGCTCACTTGCGCAACCGGCCAGCAAGGTATCTGAAAAGTGACCAAAACTTGTGACCCACGTAAAATGCACAGTCACACTGTTGCATTATTTTTCTCGCATTCGTTTCTGATATGTTTGTACATCACAGCTTTTTGAAGTATTCAATTGACATTGTTATCTTCACATGCCAAAAAACATGGCCTCCAACGTGTGAAGTGTGGTCCGCCATCACCTCGAAATGCCCGTTCACGATCCATGTCATCAGCACCGACGTCATCGAACAAGTCAGATAGCCTGTGTGAGAATTTTTATTTTAAATTTCACCTATATATTTTGAAATTTATCGATGTTTAAATTTAACAGTAAAGTTGACACTCACATTTTTCATTCACTAGAAAGTCAGTACAACGTTTCTGATTCCACAGGTAAGTTAGGAAATGAAAAGTACAAAATTTCACGGACATGAATTTTGTAAGGACCATAAATTAAAGGTAATAAATAGTTCTTAAAATCAATTAATATTCTATTAATACTTCTGGACACGACAATTAAATTAAAATTTGTTGGTGCCATTTGAAGTTGCATACCTACCAATATCGTCGTTCTGGAAATGGATCATCGATATCTGAATATGTCCATGGACCAGCGATTCGTGTTTGTGGTCCTGTTTGGTAGCAGCGTAGGCGTGTAGAAATATCGCCAGGATAATTTCGGACGTAATCGTTGAAATAGGTTGGAATGAACATTGGCCTAATTTGGGAATCGATACGCACGATATTTAGCACGTCGATGATGTCGCTCAAATCTAAGATACTAACGAAGCCATAAATAATAAGGTATATTAAAGTAAGGTAGAATCATATAAACTTGTATCTTAGTTTAATACACATACCACTTACTTTTACTTTTCAAATAAGATACCTAAGCACCAATTGAGCTGCTGAATGAAGAAATCGAAATGTGAAGTTCAGTGTTGAATTCAAATTTCAAATGAAAGTAAATTTAAAATCCATGAAGAAGATCAAATTGATGGTATCAAAATGCAAAAAACAATACTAATAAATTCACAGTGCAGTTCCATTATTAACTTAAGGGAAGAAGGGACTGCTCACCTTTAACAGATTCACTATTTGTTTCAACTTTTGGCGCACCATTGAATAATGACAACGAATGATGCAACATGTATGGAAAAAACATTTTTGCAAGACAAAATTCCGGATGATTGTACGCCTCACACTGCTTGAAACATGCCTCACGTCGAATCCGAGATTCAGCCTAAAAACATGAAATCCCACGTGAAACTACTTACAAATAATGAATCATTGATTGACTCTTGATCACAAATTGATTATAATGCTCAAAAACATAAACATTGATTGGTATGCCTTTTAAACATTGGATTATTATATTCATGTATGTTACTTGGAAGATGTCAATATGTTCAAAATACTAAAATTAAAATTTTTAATAAGCTTTTAAATTCCAACCATTACAAAACACCATGGTCCCATATGCCAGTCATCCGGATTACGGCAATAATTTTCTAATGAATGCATTCCAGTTGACAATGTAGTTGAAGCATATCTAATGGATGGACCAAAATGACGACTAAAATCGGTCGATTGAAAAGTTGAATTTACTTCATCCCAGCGTAAACAACTTTTTCCACTAAAAAGAAACGGTGGAAATTTAGTATGAAAATATATGCCATAACAATCAGTTAAATTAATAACTTTTCCAATTTATTATTTGATAAACTTAGCTATTATACCAGTTAATAGCAGTTTTAATTTAAATAGACCGAAACTGACGAGAAAGAAACAGATTGCATTCCGCGGTACCAAGACATATGATCATTTGATCTCCTGCAGCTCATCCTGTGATCAATGACGTTCACGTTACACGTACCAATAAAATATTTCCCTTTTACTAATTTCAAGCAAATATTTTGTCGGAATTTGGGACGTTTGTGGCAAATTGGTGTAGAAATATTAATGTTAAACATTTTGAAGATATGTTCGGTGGTGGAATTCCTATGAAGAAAAACTTATTGTACAATAAATTTGTTTAAAAATTTAAATGAATTATATGATTTGAAGAATTTGACCACTCAGTGTAATAAACCTGCTTGTGAATTATTTTACTATGAATGTAGTGCTAGTTTATTTACTTGGGAAAAAATAAATGTTTGTTAAAATGGAACAACCTGAAAGTTTTCGAGAGAAGAAATTCATCAAAAATAAGCTCAAAAAATTTTCAAGCTTATTTCGTTGGAAATTTACTTCTTGACTTTAATGAGTAAAAGACATGCGTATTGTCATCAATCATTGTATTTTTAGAGTGCAAAGTAAATAATTAACATTGTCGTTTCCTAAAGCATACGTAACTTTCCGATCTCCCGATCTGACAAATTAATTTTATTGGGAAGAAGAAAAGGAGTTAATGCTTTTTTCACAAAATTAGGCCTTTGCGCTTAGATCTATTTTCTGAAATTGGCCGAACTTAGGAGACCGGAAGAATATCCTTAAAACGGATTATTGAAAACAATAATACTTTACAAAATGGTAACTGTTTTCACAAACCGTTCCAGACATCCAGCATTGCTAATCTTTCTCTTACTTATTGTATTATAGCAATTTCGATCACAATACCATGGCACAGCCGAAAGATTCCACAAACTCGTCGAAATATCTAAACGTGAAAGCCACAGGATCAAAGAAATCAACATCATTAATGTCATAACAGACCGCTCGAAATGAAATGAGTGAATTCGATGAAAAAAAAGAAAACTTCTTGGCTAATGGTTTAATACTAATTTTGTTTGCTACGCGATAAGATTTTCGTAACATTTTGACAAAGATCAATACGTCAAAGTTATATGTTCACGTGACAGTACAATATTTATTGAATTTTATAAAAGGCACGTCACATAGTAAAGACAGTATGTAATATCATGTATTCATAATTGTCGCAGTAAATATACTTAAATGTTGAATGATGTTCGTTGCTATAAATGATAAGCTTTGTTTCATTTCCTTTGTAAATTGTTGTTTATCGTTTCTTTTTACATTTAGAAATTTGAAGCAGGAGTATATTAAATTGTATTCATTTTGAGGCAAATATTCCATTTTCCGCCTTACGACGCATTAAAATAAGCAAAGGCAAAAGAAGGAAATTTCACAACGATCTGTTCTCTTCATCTTACCTCTTTTTTTGCTGATAAGTGATCCAATTACTAATTAATCGATTTTTTTTGGCAACCATTAATCATTGAATTTCTAAAATATTTTTAAAGTGATCAATAATGGAACAATTTTGGAGCAAACAATACTTCTAGAAAAATTTTTGATAGTTAAGATGAAAAACAAGAATGAGTTGATTTCTCATTATATTTTTACAGAAAATTCACCACTCTATTGCGTCTGATAGGTTATAGTTTATGCTATTACGGCAGTATATGCGTGAGTGTACACGTAGTTATCAATGTTACTGCGCCATTTTCACGTTTTATTCCTTTTAGAACATCTACAAAAGTAATCTTAAAGCACATTATTCGATTACAACATCAATTGCCGCTGGCTGCTGGGGGTTACCGTACAGAAAGTAGAAATATGAGACCGCGTCATTTGCAGTTAAATTTTCAATTATTAATGTGCCATTTTTGAATGACAATCGGTCACCGTATCTTTTGAGCTGAAATAGTCGTCATTACGAATTATCTTTGAAGTCTGAACAATGTTTGAAAATGGATGAATAGAACAAATTAAACTTTAGATTTTAAAAATACTCAATGATTGTAAGTGAATAATAATTGAAGAAGAGAAGATAAATATAACTGATCCATGAAACAATGTATCAAGAATTTATATTGTAAAATTTACTCCATAGTCGGTGATCGTTCCATTCTTTACGATATACATACGATCTTCCTCGCCATCACCAGCTTTCTGAACTTCGGCTTGAACATCCATTACTTCAACACCAAGTTCCAATTCTATGGTCTGGCCAACTTTTCCTCGTTGCACCAATATTGAACTTGACCCTTGTGCAAATAGCAATGCCGCAATGCAAGCAAACAGCAGAATTTTCATATTGATGGAAGAGATTTTTTTTCAAAATCGAAAAATAACAAACATTTTTGATTTTAACAAATGTCGTTATTACGAATTGTCTTTAGCATGAAGAAAAATTCCGCTATCTTTCATGGAAACGCTTAGTTTAACAGTCATCCAAATCATTGAAATTTTATTTGGGTGATCGATTGTAAGAATACTTGTTATTGAAGCCTTTCAAGATGTTGACATTAAAGATCAAACAAAAAACTTTCGAAAAGTTAAAAATTTTTGAAGCTAAGATTTCTATTGTAGCTTAATTTCCAATTAGGATCAATCATTAAAATTCTAATCTAAAGTTGACGAAATTCAATAAGACTTCAAAAAATTAGTAAATTTCACAGAACTTTAAAATAAAAAGTTGCAGAATTAAAAATAATAGTGGGAAAATTGCTCTTCAGACAATTGAAATTACACAAATTTGGTAGAAACTCAATTACATCCCAAAAAATGATCAAACATCGTCTGATCCAATAAAGAAATTTACCGTTCTTTAGCTTAAGATCGTTCCATTTGATACTTACAAAACTATCGACAGATTATTTAAACAGAAAAAAAACTCCCAATTTAAGATTTCTGACGAATGATAAGGCAAAGAGCATTATCGATGCTTCGATACTATCGAGATCAAAATAAAACTATTTAACTAATGATCCCACTTATGTTATCGGTAATAGTTGAAAACTTTTTGCAAGCATGATTTCTTGCAAATGTGCAGATTGAAAAGTTTGATGACACCCTCTTTTTTGAAGTTATTAACTTTGCTTTAGCTTATTTTTTTCAAACCTTTTGACAGCGAATTTTTTTATTTTATTTTTTGTTCAAAATGGAATCTAACTTAGTCTCATCCGATCTAAACGTTCAACTCTAAAAAAACATTATGAAATGCTATCTAATAGCCGTTAAAAGGGTTGAAAAATAAAAAGATGAAAGAATACAGAAGTGCCGAACACATCGGGTAGTATTTCTTAATGTCACATCGCCAACACAAATAAAATAATGGCCCAATTTGATAAAAAGTGTCTTTTTTATAAAAAGTATAAAAAGTATTTTTTCATCCAATTGGGTCATTACTTTATTTGTGTTGCAGACAACTTTTTCATAAAATTTTCCCCCATTTTTGGCATTTTCTTCTTAAACTATTATTCAAAGAGGATATTTTTGGGGACAAAATAGGAGGAAATTATCAATCGAGAAGGAATTAAAAGATTAATTTATGCTATTCAAAGTTTATTAACTCATCTTTAATATGAGAAAATCAAAAATATAGAAAATAACTTTTAACACAATATTCAACGCAATGATTACAAGAATTGATAAAAAAAAAATTCTCAAATACACAATTTCATTTGCCTTTCTTCTGCTAATTGTGAAAGGTTCCCATTTTCTCGAATCACGCAGCTGTTCCTCATTACATTGGATCACGTCATCTGACTTCGAAAATTCATATGATTGATTCAATTTGACGGGAAAGTTTTAACAACAGCCGGATGAACCTGTTGGAAAAATTTTTGTTAATTCTATCAAACAATTTATAAGTATTACATTTGAAAAAACAAATTTTCCTTCTATTAGAAATTTTCAACATTTCCTCTGACTTTTCCTTTTAATGTAATGTGTATGACAAATTTATGTGAAAATACTCTGTTACAATGACAGCATTAAACATTTTTTATTTTTCAAAAATTTTAAAAATTGTAACAAATTATGCTTAACAAATAAAATAATGATGGAATGAATGAAACACACTTTTTTTTCTCTTTCATTAGATTGATATTTGTTCGAAAATTAGAATGGTGATCAGTTACAGTCATTCGTTTGTTTGTGACATTATGACAGATGAAATGCAAACATAACGACAGTGAATAAGAAGGCAGAAATTCCAACATAATATGGAACAGCAAAGAAGTGGCTTTTCCAAAAGTTTAATTCCAACATTTACAGTAATCTGAAAGAAGCCGCATAGTATTTGATTTTTTTTTAAGGAACTCACTGTAAGAATATTCATTTCTTAAACAATGATGAATTAAATATTGAAATTCATATATCACATTTATCTCTGCAGAAGTGTAAGAGTGTATTAGAATATATAAATATTGGCTTAAAATAAATGATAAAACCCTTTAAAGAATTCAAAAATAATAGTAAATATTTGCTGTAGATACATAAAAATATAATAATAAAGAGTGAAACTTAATTAGTATAGAATTTGTAGTCGAGAATGCAATCTGATCAACAGAAGAACAAATCTTTATTGATGACATGAAATGATGACTGAATTCATTTCTCATCTTATTTTCATTTGACTTTTTTAATCTCGACGATTATTTACTCGAGGAAATGCTTGTAAATCTAATGTTCTACTATAAGTTTGACAATGTTTCTTTACTTGTTAAGTTTTATTTTCACTTGCAAAGATATTTTTTCATTCAATAACAACGTACAAAATTAGATAAATGTTAAAGTAATAATAATGATAATAGTAATGAAAAAAATCGCAGCGAAATTTGTTAAAATAAAAGAAAAATTTTCATATTTGAAATACGAAATCTTGATAATCTGTAATACAAAATTGAAAACTCAAACGAAATTTATTGCTGAAATGTTCAAATTTAACATTAGCTTTAAAGCAATTTTTACGAGCAACAATAAATTGATCAATGTTTTTCTTTGCAAAAATTATTCCAGAAAAATTAAAATGATCAATTATGAGTCATCGTGTTGAGTAACGTTTAAATGTTATAAAAGTAAAAGATTGATGAGAAAGAACGAAAGAGAGAGAGAGAGAGAGAGAGAGAGAGAGAGAGGTGGAGAGGGCAAGTGAATGTGATGGTGATGGTGACGGTGGAGGAGGCATTGACGCACACAATCAATATTAAAACTATATAATGGCTTAAAGGTAAGGCATCTTTTGTCATTTAAAGATTTCATTTTAACTATCAATTTAAAATAAACCCTTTGCTGCATCATTTAATAATTCCATACTTTCTGTTCTCTTCCATTCTATCATCATATGTTGTAAGAGATCAAAATAAGGAGAGTTCAATATTTACGGATCGTATTTAATCGATACTTCTAAGTTTGAATGATTGTGGTAATGTGGATGACAGCTGTGGTGACAGTTGTGTCGTCACAGGTCCGTAAGTGATGAAAGGATCGTTCTGATCAAATATACAAAGGAAAAAACAAACGACAAGTTTTTCTTTTTTTATTTTTGTTATTTCAGAGATATTTGTGCAACAAATGCATTGTTATTGTTTTATTTGTGTAAACAGAGCTATGGTTGGATGTTTTTGGTGAGATAAAGCGCTCGTTGTTTCCAATGAAAGCATTTGTGTCGATATGGCATTTAAATTAATGTCATTTGTCGTTTTTTGTCCGTCCTTTTGTTTCCCTATCTTTCGCTTTGTCTTTTCTTTGATTTATCTGTTTATGTATTTTTTGTTGAATTATCATAATTTCAGATCATCGTCAAACTTATTTGGGGGAAAAAAAATGTCAATACTGGAAAAGATACGTAAAGCACGAGAAGATCTGAAAGCTGTTGAAACTACGCAAGTTTCTGATTTCATTTTTATGGACCCATAATAATAGTTTAAGCAGTGCAATTTTTAGCTAAAGGAATTGGTGGGCTTCATTAATGATTATGAAAATGATTCGGTCGTAATTACATATATACATAGATCTTCGAAAAAAAAAATCGAATACATCGAATTATTTAATTGTCAGATCAATAATCTATTTCAAATTATTCCGACCACTTGTTGACTTGGCTTCTGGCGATAAAATCTAAGTGTCTTTATGCAGTATTATATTTGCATCTAATTTTTGCTTTATCTTGTTTAGGTGAAGGTTACTCACTTTACAAGCAATATTTTATGCGTTATTTATGCGTTTTTAGAGTAACAATGGAAGATGGTACAGTAGCGAAAGAAAAGCGTTCAAGTAAGGGCGAATTTGTATATGTAGATGAAGGTGATGAAGGTCAGTCTGGCAGTAATGGTGGTGAAAAAGAGGTGCAAGAGTTTGAAATTACATTTAACAAGGAGAGTGATTTGAATGATTCGCAAACAGTACGTCCTGCAAGTCATGTTTCGTTGTCGAATCGACAGATAAAGAAACGATTATATCGACAAGCTTTAGGTTTTGTGCTCGATTTAAAGCCTGATCTACAGATGGCGAATGTATCAAAAGGAATATACTTAGGTAAGTATAATATTAGAAATATTCTTTTTTGTGGTTTTCCGATGTATAGAGTTTAACATCAATGTTTGATCAAAATTAATAACAAAGCACTTTTTACAGTTATTTCTGGCATAGTTCTTACTTAGTTTATTATGAGTTTTTAGCGGAGATTCTGGAACCTTTCTTTTCCTCTCTTATCTGAAAAAATTGTGCCAAATTCTTTGAATGGGTAGACGAAATAAGTCAATGAAGGAAGGAACAGGGACAATACGAGATACTATTTCAATTCACAGTCTTTTATGTAGACTTTCGGGTATTTCAAATGAATTGGCTTTCATCGCAAGATATTTTCTCTTACCCTTATAATACTGTCGTTGTGGTTGTTTCTTTTCAGAATTCACTGCTCAGTTTTCAATGTAGCCTTATATATCTTTACAATGTTTAAAGATAAATTAATTGATACCATTGTAGGAAGTCAGGATGTGGCACACGATTATGACATCCTTATGGCACATAAAGTCACACATATAATCAACTGTGCGACCGGTGTGGAGAATATTTTTTTGGGCGTAATTAAATACCTTACACTCGATATATTGGATTTACCGTGGACCAATATAGAGCAGTATTTTGATAAATGCCATGAGTTCATGAAGGAAGCAGTAGAAAGTAGTGGAAATGTTAGTTGCTGTATTTCAAGATGTGGATTTTTGTAACTGAAGGTGGTTTTTAATTACATTAGGATTGTGACTTGGCAACAATTTAAATTTGCTTCGGGACAAATAGTTCTTTTTCAAATTTTATTGACTTTGGAGAATATAACTGTTAAGGCGTTGAATATTTTAAGTCATTGATTAAATAACTTGCTTTTTCTTTAAAGATAATGGAGATTTAAGAGTGATAACTTAATTAACTGTCTTAGACTAAATTGTAAGTTTTTGGCTTTATTCACAATTTTATGAGATTTTCCAGGTTTTTGTACATTGTAATGCTGGTGTATCACGTTCGCCTACCATTGTTCTATCATATATAATGCGCTATAACAAAATGACATTACGGGAAGCTCTGGAACATGTTAATGCAATTAGAAAAGGTAATCTGATCTCATCTTTCCCACAATCTAAGTGGTAGAAGCGGGTTTTGAGAGAAAAGACTGCTTGAGGCTTGAAATCATTTGATTAGTTATATAATTAATGTTCCAATAATATGGAGGATAAAACGATCATATGAATTTTATATGCAAATACTTTGAAATGCATGAAAAATTTCCATTTAGTAGGATATAAGAAAAATTTCCATTTAGTAGGATATAGGAAAAATTTATTCTTTTCTGTTCATAGTTATTTTATGAAAAAGTCGTTAAAAGTAAATTTCGATTCCAGAAATCTTAGCTTTAAATATTTTGGACTGGAAAGCTATATGAATAAAAATCAATATCCAAATCGATTCTCTTATGTTCGCGCAGTCAATGTTTAAATTTTTTTTTTACTTTCAGTCAATCCAAATCCAGGTTTCATACAACAGTTGCTACGATACGAAATAAAATTACAGTGCGAAAATGACGTTGATAAAAAATGACAATATTTAGAGAGAAAATGCTTTTCAAATTATTATGATTGATCAAAATATAGCTCGGGTATCAATTTGCTGAGATAAATTCTTTGTCAGTAACAGGATTACAAAATACATTGACATATTTCTGAGCGATTAAATGAAATATCTTTTTTCTTTTTTCTTTGCTCGTGAATGTGTGAAATATATTGTTTGATTAATTTTATGGAATTATTTCGTTGCTTTACATGACAAATATGAGATGATATATACTTTGGTATATTATTTGGAAAAATTTGCTACCGTTTGATTTAATTTAATATTGCAGTTTTTGATTAACCTGCTGGACTTATGTCAGTAACAGGATTTTAAAGGACAACGACATATTTCTGAGAGATTAAATAGGTTGTTTTCATTAATAAAATTTAAAGTATCAAGTCTATAGTCATTAATTTGGCTTATAAGCAGCGTTTAGTATTTCAGTACATTTTACATCTTAAGTAATTTTGCTGAAAAGAAAATTGGTAATTCTTGCGTAGTTTAACAAGCATTTTTGTAGTGTTGTAGTGAGTAGCAATAATAACTACGATATTTCGTTACAAGATGAGTACAATTATAATATAAAATCTTGGAACAACTCGATTTTGTTAGTGACAAATTTTATAAGTAATCGTTTATCCTTTGTTCTTATCTACATGTGTTGTTTTCGAGAACTTCCATCTAAATGATGATTAAGTGTTTCTGGTTTTATTTTGAAACGGGTGCGAAAATACACGTGATATACGGTGAACGTATGTAAATGTAAATGTTATTCATCCAATAAACAAGAATGTAAATTTGTTTCATCTTAACTTCGTGTTTGATGTTGTAAATAAAATTTTTGTTTTTATCGATAGTAATTACGGAGCAAAAAACAGTTAGACGTATGGCTGAGGGTACAACAGCCTGCTAATAAAGTCTGTTCGGCCAGAGAATGATCGTCTATGAGATCGAGAAGACTTTATTTCTTTGCGCAGTCTATTACTAAAAGTCAATTCAGTTCAAAAGATCACTTCTGGCTGCCTGGATAAATCGTGCAATATTGCCATGGAACGTATGATTCGGATATATGCTCTTAACACAATCATAATTGGTCAATTTACCTGTTCGCTAATGTTTTCAAGAAGTCTTTGATTAATTTTCAAAATTTGGAAAAGCATTTTTTTCTTACTATTGATTCAAAAATATTTTAAATACGAATAATTTGGTGTAAAAAAAAGCGAAAAATCAATTGTGATTAAAGTAATGAGTGTTCTGAACAGAGCTTTGAAAACAACTAATAAAAGAAGAAAGGCAAAGAAAGAGGAAGGCTATTGGAAAGTAATCTTAAAATGAGTATATTTTTGGAGTTGAAGTGAAATGAAGTGATGCACCGAATTAATTATCATTAATCCCACTTCTTCCACATGATTATCCCGTTCCTCTTCACATATTCTATTGAAATATTACCGCTGCCATCTCTTTGTTATTGTATAAAAATATTGCATGTCAGCCAACTTCCCTAATTTTTCTGCTAGAAATAACAGACTAAATTTTGTTATTGATAATAATTTCGGGTTACTAAAATCGATTTGAACAAATTGTTGTGATAATGATCATAGGATGTTGATTGTAAGTATTGTTGAAAATTTCATGCAGATTAGAAAGTATTATATAGTTATGTATGCAAATTTTGATTGCTAAATGTACAAATTAATTTCATAGCTAATATCAAGGCTTATTATATCCAGTGTTCAGTTATACCATCACTAATGGAGATTTTATGCCAGATGACAAGCGAAATATTTTGATGTTAATGTGAACACAATCCAAAATTGTCATATTGGATCGTCATCTCCTGCATCTCATTTTTATTGACTTGAGAATCACGAGACACTCAAAGGTCATGTAATGATCATGTAGTGGACATAAAAATACTCTTTAAAATGTCTATTTTTGAACAGCTAAACAACACTAACATGAATACTTTTCAGCGACAGAAATTTGGTAATTGAACTGAATGGTATAATGGTCGAATGATGATTAAGAATATTAAATCATCCGATTTAACAGCTTTGTTATATTGTCTGTATGATAAACCAGTGACTCTTAGTTGGAAAAAAATGACAACTTTACTTTTTATGCTTAAGTCTTTAATTTGAAATAATTTAAAAATTTATTCTGTATGTCAGGAGATAGAGTGGAAGGCGACGGTGTAATTATATTTAAAGTTATCATAAGGTTACGATTTAATATATATATAATATTGTCGAGTGATAAGGTTATCATGGAATCATTCCGGAGAAGTACATAATTCCATTACTTGCAGAAAGTTTATTTCTTCTTTTGTACCTCTTTTCGTAATCAATGCAAGAAACTACGAAATAGCATCATTATACTTTATAAATTAAATGTAAGGAATGTTTTGAATATAAATTTATTCCTTCTTATGAAAACCAATGCCACAGCCAGATCGATTCAAACATCCAAAACCTATAAACTGACAAATGTTGAAGTTCATCAAAATTTTCGAATAAAACAGTTTTGATTAGTTTCTAATTTCTACCAATCATTAAATAATGTGATTAATTAGATTCAGCTTATCCCGATTAATTGCTGCATAGCATTAATGAAATACATCACCTGGAATAAATCGTTTTCTTGAAAACATGGGTAATCCATATTTATGGACACCGTAACCGGTGAATGAGTTACCATTATTCGTGAAAGCAAACGGTCCATAAGGATTCGTCAAATATGGATTACCGAACAAATTTATACCCATACCAGACATTACCATTGGATCATTACCTAATATCATGCCAAGACCACCAACTGCGCCCAAATATGCTACAAAACATTTGGCTTATTTATAATAATATTGCAATATTTATAACAATGAAACATTAATCAAAGCCATTGTTTATTTGATGAGCAATTTAACAAATAGTCAATAAGTGATTAGTCTTACATTTACTATTGTTCACACTAAATAAATTGATACATATTTAACTTACGATTCGATAAGGCAGGCATTGGAAATGTACCAAATGCTCCATATGGTGCAATAAACTGTGCTGTCGACAATTTTGCAATTGTAAACATTAATAAAATTGATAATATGTATGGGAACATTGTGAGATTACTGAAATTATGCGACGATCAGTCAGTGTATCAGTGGCGTAACTTCACCGCTAGAGATATTTGGATCGAGAAAAAAATATTTCGGATTTTGTTTTTATCGAGCCGTAACATATAG